GTGCTGACCTGTAGGAAGTGGATGTGGTCCTCAGTGTGGGAGAGCTGCTCCAGCTCAGTGTTTCCCCTCTTTAGCTCAGTGATTTCCTGCTCCAGCTCATGAATGATCCCTTCAGCCCTCCTCTCTGCTGCTCTCTGCTTCTCCTCAATCAGCTCGATGAACTCAGCCTGACTTCTCTCAATGCAGCACTGGAGAGCAGTGAAGACCTGTAAACTGTCCTCCATCTCTCTCTGTTCACAGCTCTGAGGAGACACCAGGAGACTTGATGAGGTAACAGGAATGGGTGCAATATTATTTAAATGTGATAGTTAATAAAATAATTGCTCTTATAATAATATTTTCAATTTAAGAAAAGCTTTACAACTAGGAAGGGAAACACTGTATCAGTCACTCCACACCTGGGGGATACAGTCAATATCATGTCCGTTAACTGGATAACTATAATGATAATTAGGAGGATTTTCATGATCTTCCTCACTGTTCTCTCTCTGTGTGTGTTAACTGTACTAAGACTTTGGCTTTTCAACACCAGGGAATGTAAAGATATTGGACCCTATGAATCCGAGACGCAAGGTCAATAAGTTGTAAAGCCTCAGGACGAATCCGAACGGTCGATAGCCAGGAGAACAAAAAGCACTGAGCGGCAAGGAGACACAAGAGACAGAGAGAGAGACAGAGAGAGAGAGAAGGAGCCCCACTCGTTGACTCAATACTGAGCGCTGTGAAGCAGGTAGGGAGCCCTGAAGTATTGTGGGATTCTCGGGTGTGGTAGTGATCGGGGAGCAGGATAATTAAACCGGATGCCATCACTTGCAGGAATTGACAGGAGCTAGATTATTATTGCCGGGAGATGTGTTAGATTGTTGGCGGTGTTTATTCTGATTAGCCTGGCCCATGACTAGCCTTCCTCAGTCATTCTAAGTGTCCCCTGGAGGAGAGAGCAGTGACCCCAGCACTGAGCCGTGCAGTACCCCACTCAGAAGGATTGACAGGACTCACTTTGCTGAGCTCCACTGCCTGTTTGATCTCCTCCACCTTCTTCAGTCTGTCCTGGATCATCTGTTGTACTTCTGCCTCAGTCTTCCTCAGCTGAGTCTGTGGACAAACAGGGGAAAAGAAACACTGAAGTCACTGCTGCTGGTGCACAAACACTGGGCTGGACAACAGACTCACACACTGACACTGAACTGGATCACAGACCCCCACACTGAACTTCAGGTAAAACCACATCTGAAACTATTTATTAAAGTTCATAAAGTTTGTCCCTGTCCAGACTACTGCACATATCTGTTCCTGTGGGAGGAGACTCTTCTGAAGATGGTGTCGTTGATTACCAGGTACAGTATATGCTAAAGCTTTGATAAGTAATGTCAGTTTATGAAGTAATATCACACCTCCAGATCAATAACCTAGTGATAAATTTACCGTACAAAAATATAAATTACATATATAGTCCTAAGACCCACCTTTTTCACTCCGCATTCCTGCTCTAAAGGGACAGTGCTGTGTGTCCTGTGGTCTGACTCAGAGCAGAACTGACAAATACAGGTCTGGTCAGTCCTGCAGAACAGCTCCAGGAGTCTCTCATGCTTCTGACACAGCCTGTCCTCAAGGCTCTCCACAGGCTCAATCAGTCTGTGTCTCCTGAAAGCAGCTCCTTGATAGTGAGGCTGGATGTGAGTCTCACAGTAAGAGGCCAGACAGACCAGACAGGATTTCACAGCCTTGAGTTTTCTCCCAGTGCAGAAATCACAGGACACTTCTCCAGGTTTAGCACAAAGTCCTTCATCACTGCTGACTCTGGTCCTCTTGAAGTGCTCAGTGATTTCTGCCAGGCTTCTGTTCACACTGAGATCAGGTATTATAGGAAATGTCTTCTTACACACTGGACACTGACACACATCACTGCTGTCCCAGTATCCACTAATACAGGCCAGGCAGAAGCTGTGTCCACATGGAGTGGACACTGGGCTGGTGAATGTGTCCAGACAGATAGAGCACTGGAACTGCTCTTCAGACAGGACACTGCTGGGTGAGGCCATTCCTGA